AAAAAAAAAAAGAGAGAGAGAGAGAGGGAAAATAGTGCTCAGTTAACTTAAAATATCTGACATTGAATGGGCCATAAGCATCATCAGGGAGCAAGGTTTCTTTTGATTCCCACCTTCCATTATTTGAATTTCATTTTAAAATGATCTCTCTTTATAGTCAAAGGCAACAATCAGAGCAACATTCCTTCTTACTCACTTTCCATAAAAAAGCTTAGTAACTCTAAATTCCTAAGAGAGGAAAGATGCAAGCCACACATGCATCCTGGAGACAGAAACCAAATGTATCATGTGGATTGGCTTAAGTTGTGTGTGGTTCTCTGCTGGAATAGAGTAGCAGTGGAAAGGAATCTACCAAGTTTCTAAAAGAAATGTGAAATTTCTAAAAAAAAATTAGGGACTGCACAATTGAAGATTATACCCTGACTTTGTATTTCATCTTAAAGTTTATCAACGGCCTTTGCTAATGAAAAGGGCTTGTTTTTTGTCCTTGTAGCTTGTTTCTTGGATTTGAAGACAAGGGAGATATATTTTTTGCTCAAAGGAGAGGTGATTCAGGTATTATACAGCTTAAATATGGTTTCAGCACTTGCTGTTCAACCTTGATCTGCTTTGTGCTTTTATATACCCACCATATGTATTTAATCTATGGGGAGGAAGGAGTTAATGTAGATGGCCCATGATTTATTTCTCCCCAGTTAAGCAGAAAAACAGATATGAGCAGGAAGAAAAGACGGTGGGGCCCACTGAGAACTCAGGGAGTTAATCAGATAAAGCCAGAGAGGCAGAAGGGACTCACAGAGTTAACGCCCTTTTGCAGTGTGAGTTCATTCCACAGGCTCTGAATCTGGGCTGACCTTGAGACTTGCTCTAGCTAATGCAGGTGAGAGAGCTGAGACATGGGACAAGCATCCTGATTAACTTTTTCTGCCTATAATGAAAAATGCTGAGATACTAATAGTATAGTAAGAACAGGAGGGACTCCATCTTAAGGCTAAGATTCCATTTTAAAAACCAGGGAGTTAGGAGGTAAGATTCCTAACATATTCTTTGATAATCAGTCAATGACTTATCTTAAGGCAGGGCAAGCAGTCTTAACGGATATGTTCCCAGTGCTTGAGGTAACCACTATTTTGGAGAGGAACTGGATCAATAAATTCCTTGTGTTAAGTTTATCCTACAGAATTATCTGGAGGACTGACTGTGGATGGTGACATCATGTCTGTCACTGGAGAGAGACATCATGAGACCACAAGTCAAGCCTATGTACTCTAGCCCTCTGCCCGATTCTTGGAAGTATCAAAAGACAGAATCCTAATCCCTTAAGTGTGCCTCCTCTCTGAGGTTGCCCACACTCACCTGTCTTTGAGTGTGTTACTCTTTTTGTCCTACTCCAGATAAGTAGGGAGAGGCTATTGAAAGCTCGGGTTTAGGCTTGCAACTTCCCATCCCCTGGGTGACCCAGATGGAACTGCAGCTATGATCATGCTCCTTAGAAGCCTGCCTGAAAATCTCATTTATTTGCCTCTAGGAATTTCTTAGAGCATAATCTCATTCCATCTAGTGCTCTCCAGCTCCCCCAAATCCTGGAGTGGTAGCGGCTAAATTCCCATGCTGCGCAGATTCGAGGGGACACTAGGTGCCTGGTGACACTGGCTTTGGGAGTTGGCAAGGGATCTGCCCTATGCCGAGCAGGGGTTCAGTGAGCTTCCCTTTCCTCCCTCAGTTTTTCCTTCCTCTCTGCTTTATTTAAGTAAACCTGCCTTTGTTTGTCTTGGCTCTGGCCTACTCCTCCCTTTGAGTGTGATCAGATAAACCTGACTTTATCCACCTTGACTGTAGCCAGCTCCTCCTTTGGAGTGTGTTGGAATAAAACTTTCATTCTGCCTCACTACCATGTCTCTGCCTTTCAATTCTTTCTTGCAGAGGGAACAAGAACTGAGGAGAATAAACTCAATCCCCAACACCCTAATATGGCATGGTGTAACTCCAGGGAGAAAATATGTTCCCAGCCCAGGGCAAATACACCTTTGAAGCAGAAATCAAAGGGAGAAATAGAGTGGGAGAAACCCAGTTATTGCTTACAAGTAGCCGTCTACTCCTGTTCGCCGTGTCTCTCACGACCTGGCTGCAAAGACCCCACCAACACCAAACCTCACTTGTCCACGTGTGCACTCGCTCCGCCTTCCCCCACCTTGTAATCACCTATTGATTTGGAGATGGTTACTTCTCTCCACCCCTTGGAAACACCTATTGATATGGAGATGAACTAAGGCTAGGTGAGAGATTCTGGAAATATTCCAATTTTACCCACATATGGGCATAGAGGAGGACTGTTCATGGAAGAAAGAAAAGGAGATGAGTTATAAAGTTCTAATCTCTAACAGAATAACTACATCTCTAGGCAAATAGACTGATAACATTAATTAGGTAGAGAATCCTAACAGTTTTCCTAGTATAGGATTGCTTATGATAAATACACATAGGACTTATTAATTGATGAAACAAGGCACCCCAGAGAACGTCACAGATCAGATCCTTTTCCATGCACTAAACCTTAAAGCACTCTTATGGAATATGATTGCTGTTACCCCTCATTTCACAGACTGGGATTCAGAGTAATTAAGTAGCTTGCCTAGTTTATACACCTATTAAGTGCTAAAAGCACAATTTTAATTCATACTGTTTGGGGCTTGAAGTGTCGTTAGTGACCATTATATTATTTAGAAAATACAGAATATTTTTCTCATTGTGATTTTTCTTACTATTTTGTCTATACATTTGACACCTCCATTTCTGGTCTTAATGGATTTTGGAGGTCTCATTTTTCCACAATTAATATTAACTCTAATTGTCTTTAAAGTGCATGTTTTAGATCAAAAGACTACCTACGTTTTTATTTACCGTTTGAGTTCAAGTCTTCCCACTGAGACTGCTATAATAAAATAAAACTTACTGGCTGCATAGCCCTAATCTTTGTAGTACAAATGTGTAGGAGATGTAGAAAGAAATTCTAAGAAACCACTTCTTTTTCCTCTTCCTCTTCTCTCCCTCCAGCCTCCCCTCCTCGTTCCATGTCTCACCTTCCTTCTCCTCCTTCTTCAGCTACCACTACAAAATATCCCTTGATCTGGCTTTTCTCTTTAGTGGTTTGGAAGACAGAATGCCGTGCCTTCTGTGGAAATCCCAGGTAACTTCCATAGCAGCAAAGCTACGTATTTATGGAATAGAACTCGGTCAATTCAAAGGAAATACAAAACAACTCACGGGTCAGAATATGTCAGCATTTCTGCTTTTCTTCATGTTACAGAGATTCATGTATTTTATCCTGATTTTTTTCCATGATTAAATTACTTCTTTTTAGTTCCCCCTCTCCCTCCCATGCAAGTAGTTGGATTTGAGAAATAAATATTCCAAATACTCTTAAGTCAAAGGTAACAACATTATGTTGTTTTTTAATTAGAAGGCATGTTTAGTTTGCTTCCTCACCTTTCTCTGTTGTTGTCATGGCAGAAACCAAGTTATTGAGACAGTCATTATTTCTGTTTCATAACAAATTAGTGTTAAAACTTGGTAAGGAGGCTCCCATTGTCGTGAAGATACCAGCTCATCAAAACCAACTGACAGTCAAAGCCCAGATAACTGCCACCTGCTGGACCAGGAGTAGAAGCTCTCTAATTCAGTGCCTTCTGGATTCCTTTGGAAAGGGTCAGTTGTACGAAATACTCATAGCTTTCTGTCAGTTTCGAACAACAGAAAACAAAATCAAAACTCCTAAACCCATTTTCATTAAGATCTATACTCAGACACATAAGGGTTAGAAGCTCTCCATGGTTACCATAAAAACACTAGCAGAAAAGATGACAATGTAAATATAAGAAAAAACAATGAAACTGAAAACAGATATTTGAATAGCACACTGGCACACATCATGTCAGGTAATTAAAAGTCCAGAGATACTAAAACAAAATAACACTTAACTAGAGTTAGCTAAATTACACATCAGCTGTTAACACCACAGAAACATCAGCAGAGGCATTTTTCATCCATTTTCATCAGTACTTGCTATAAGGTTAATTTTAAAAATTAAGGTACAGAAGGTACATTATTAAGCATGGATCATTGGAAAAAATCTTTGTGTTAGCAGAACAGAAAACATGATTTGAAGATAAGAGTTAGGTAGCCATATTGGACTGTCACTCTTTTGAGACTGGAAAGATTTTATGACATTTGTTTTTCCCTGAGAGGTTAAAATTTCTCAGGAGGAGAAGCCATGCAATGTTTTGTGACAATAGCTTTCTTTAGGCTCTATTGGGCATACTGTCTTATATTTTAGGTATGGAAATCTCATCATCTAAAGAAATTAGGAGCATTGTAGAAAAATGTATGAAAGCAACATTGCATTAATACAAATATATCTGCACAGAATATTTAATTAAAAGGATTCCAAGGCACACATTTCCATCCTACAAAATTTTATTTACATATATTCTGATAGGTCTTTAATTAAATCAGAGGTTTTGGAGGTAACTAAAATAATGTTAATGAAAACTCCCTATGTCTGGATTTATACCCTGCTGATGTCATATTTCAACATTTATTTTCACT